GCAGTGCCTCGCAACACAAAGCCACGATATAACTTCAATATGAGAAACAACAATTTTAATCTTCAAATTCCACTGTATTACCCCTCACGCAGAAAAAACTATACCTGTGCGGAAAACCATGAAATCGAAAGCGAAAGATAAATCAAACAAAAATACGCCTCAATCCGAAACATCAGGTGAGTCAATTCACCCAGTCGTCTTATCCATTACTACCTCCACACACCAACCAACTAACAATACACAATTCATATCTCATCCGTCCAATTAACACGCCTCCTCACTCACTCCACTCCATCACACACTACCATTCACAAGTCAACAATCACCAATCACCAACGATCGAACATCACACACAATCCACAACTCACATTACATATCTCACTCATCCCACACATCCACACATTTACAAATCTCAACCTGACTCGATCAATGTCTCTACACCCAACTCAAACCAACCCAACCCAACCCGACCCATCCCAACCAACCGAAACCAAATCAAATCATTTTCATCATCAACATCATCGCAATGAAAATCGAGTTCAAGCTCAGGTTCATCAACATATTCCACTCACATCGACCCGAATCGACTTGACTCCATTCCATTCCTTTCCATTCCACATTCCACTGAACAAACCTAACAGGAACAAAGTAGTTCACATGCACACACGCTAACGCAGAGGCAAAACCCACACGCACACGCGCAATCAACAACAAATTTCACTCACATCTTCAATCCAACACTCATACCAAAACTCACAATCACACCAACACTGACACTAACACTCATCCACACCTTCACGCATCAGCTCACACACAATACCCAACACAACACACAAACCTGACTACCCAAACAAACACTCGCAAATACAACCAACCACAACCAGGATTACACCGAAGTATACAATCATGCACAAACAACATCCACGATCACAAAGACTCACGCATACACACACATACGCACACACGCAACTGTCACAAACATCCATCAATCTGGCTCCTCTTCATTACAATACACGCGCACAGCCCAACTATCAACATAAACACAGACTGACACACCCACCCACCCACACACACACACACACACACAATCAGTCAGTCACCTAAGCAAAATTATTCGACTTAATGGATCACAGGCTTATTCAATCATTCAAATCCTCAAGCAATCACTCAGTAACACCAATACTCGCACACACAAACACAAATACTAACATGAACACAGTGTAGGTCCCAGCGAGAACGAATGTGACGCATGCAGCTGCCACACTACCGGCTTTGCAACAACATATCAACCAAGAGACGACACGCGAAAACATCTTACGTTTACGCACGCTGGTAACAGGTAATTCAGTTACACAACATAAGCATACACACCTATAATCACGAAAAGAAGAGCAGTGCCTCGCAACACAAAGCCACGATATAACTTCAATATGAGAAACAACAATTTTAATCTTCAAAATTCCACTGTATTACCCCTCACGCAGAAAAAACTATACCTGTGCGGAAAACCATGAAATCGAAAGCGAAAGATAAATCAAACAAAAATACGCCTCAATCCGAAACATCAGGTGAGTCAATTCACCCAGTCGTCTTATCCATTACTACCTCCACACACCAACCAACTAACAATACACAATTCATATCTCATCCGTCCAATTAACACGCCTCCTCACTCACTCCACTCCATCACACACTACCATTCACAAATCAACAATCACCAATCACCAACGATCGAACATCACACACAATCCACAACTCACATTACATATCTCACTCATCCCACACATCCACACATTTACAAATCTCAACCTGACTCGATCAATGTCTCTACACCCAACTCAAACCAACCCAACCCAACCCGACCCATCCCAACCAACCGAAACCAAATCAAATCATTTTCATCATCAACATCATCGCAATGAAAATCGAGTTCAGGCTCAGGTTCATCAACATATTCCACTCACATCGACCCGAATCGACTTGACTCCATTCCATTCCTTTCCATTCCACATTCCTCTGAACAAACCTAACAGGAACAAAGTAGTTCACATGCACACACGCTAACGCAGAGGCAAAACCCACACGCACACGCGCAATCAACAACAAATTTCACTCACATCTTCAATCCAACACTCATACCAAAACTCACAATCACACCAACACTGACACTAACACTCATCCACACCTTCACGCATCAGCTCACACACAATACCCAACACAACACACAAACCTGACTACCCAAACAAACACTCGCAAATACAACCAACCACAACCAGGATTACACCGAAGTATACAATCATGCACAAACAACATCCACGATCACAAAGACTCACGCATACACACACATACGCACACACGCAACTGTCACAAACATCCATCAATCTGGCTCCTCTTCATTACAATACACGCGCACAGCCCAACTATCAACATAAACACAGACTGACACACCCACCCACCCACACACACACACACACACACACAATCAGTCAGTCACCTAAGCAAAATTATTCGACTTAATGGATCACAGGCTTATTCAATCATTCAAATCCTCAAGCAATCACTCAGTAACACCAATACTCGCACACACAAACACAAATACTAACATGAACACAGTGTAGGTCCCAGCGAGAACGAATGTGACGCATGCAGCTGCCACACTACCGGCTTTGCAACAACATATCAACCAAGAGACGACACGCGAAAACATCTTACGTTTACGCACGCTGGTAACAGGTAATTCAGTTACACAACATAAGCATACACACCTATAATCACGAAAAGAAGAGCAGTGCCTCGCAACACAAAGCCACGATATAACTTCAATATGAGAAACAACAATTTTAATCTTCAAAATTCCACTGTATTACCCCTCACGCAGAAAAAACTATACCTGTGCGGAAAACCATGAAATCGAAAGCGAAAGATAAATCAAACAAAAATACGCCTCAATCCGAAACATCAGGTGAGTCAATTCACCCAGTCGTCTTATCCATTACTACCTCCACACACCAACCAACTAACAATACACAATTCATATCTCATCCGTCCAATTAACACGCCTCCTCACTCACTCCACTCCATCACACACTACCATTCACAAATCAACAATCACCAATCACCAACGATCGAACATCACACACAATCCACAACTCACATTACATATCTCACTCATCCCACACATCCACACATTTACAAATCTCAACCTGACTCGATCAATGTCTCTACACCCAACTCAAACCAACCCAACCCAACCCGACCCATCCCAACCAACCGAAACCAAATCAAATCATTTTCATCATCAACATCATCGCAATGAAAATCGAGTTCAGGCTCAGGTTCATCAACATATTCCACTCACATCGACCCGAATCGACTTGACTCCATTCCATTCCTTTCCATTCCACATTCCTCTGAACAAACCTAACAGGAACAAAGTAGTTCACATGCACACACGCTAACGCAGAGGCAAAACCCACACGCACACGTGCAATCAACAAGAAAATTCAATCATATATTCAATGAAATACTGCTTTATGAACTGACGCTCACACCTACACGTATAGTGTTTGGTGACATTTACTGCAGTATCTAATAGCCGCTTATCTCCCTCTGTTGTCCAACTCTCTTCTTCGTCTGTAGTATACTCGTCAACATTTCTTTTATTATCACTTCTTAGCACTAGCTTCTATCAGTGGAGTTTTGTGACTTCTTTTACGTGACATGAAGTCCTCTCTTCTCCAAGGTGATAATCTCCTATCAAAATTGCTAAACGTATATCAACATTTTTCTATATTTTGATACTAGCATTGCTTCTGGCTGCTAACAGGTGATAAGATATTGCGGTAATGATAGACAGCGACTATCAATGGATTTCAGGACACACATTTTGTTCTATTTAGGACTCGTCAGCTGAATGTGCCTACCTGTAGATGAGCGATGTAGTTCCCACTAAGACTGGCACCCAGAACCGATTGCCTCAAACGCCAGTGTGAGTCACAATAGTCACCTCTTGTGCAAGGAGTATAGGCTTTACCTTGTTCCTAATGTAACCACGTCGTTGATTCGACCGAATTGATCAGTGATAAGATATCTCGAAGTATAGTAGATCCATGCTATCCTGCTGAAACTGTCATTGTCGCTCTACCTCAACTTATCAAGTGCATTTAATTCATTCACAACTCAAGTAAACCTCTATTCTATACCTTATTTATGTTTTTCTCAATGTATGCATAGAATATATTACTAGCAGATTGATAATGAAGTGCGAATGGAATTCATTGCCACAGAGAGTAAAGTGCATATTCAGAAACATAATTCTCAGGATTGCAAATATTCATAGATTTCATTGAATTTTGTAGGTTGGATGAAAGTATAAGAACAACTCTAGTTAAACTTACTGATATGTTTGTAGATGCACAAGACATTGATTGAACTGAACAGTCAGGATTGATTTGCATGTTATGTGCTTCAGTAGATTATAACAATTTTCGAGTGACCTACAAACCACAGTACACAAGTATATGAAAGGCAACTTCAAAGCACAACTAGATAAAATTTGAAAGCATATTAAGTGAACATCAAGAGCAAGATAAGTGACAGCGAAACGTGAGTTCTAGATTACCAAAAGTGGTAATTCTAATCATTCCTTAACAACAACAACAACAACAACAACAACAACAACAACTACTACTACTACTACTACTACACTACTACTTCTACGTCTACTACACTACTACTACTACTACTACTACTCCAGTTACTATTACTACTACTTCTACTGCTACTACTAGTACTACTGCTCACACTGGGAGATGCTGCCACAAACAAAGGCACGTTGATAACCCTTGTGTAGTTCGCAACTGAATTTCATCGTGAATATGAGTTTCATTTTGCGTAAGATTTTAGTACAGATTAGGTGTATTTTGAATGTGCCGATTGGTGTAAGTTAGATATGAATATTATTTTGTGAGATATTATGTAGTTCCTTCTCAATGCATATGGGAGATCAGATGAGGGCAGTTCTGTGAAAAACGCTAGACACGCTTGCGTACAGATTGCTTGCAAACGCAGGATATTTTTGATCAATCTGTCATAGGAATGAAACAATCAATAGTCAGATAATGCGACACTGACTTGACGTTGGTGTTGAAAATCCGGATCTTGTTCCACATGCTGAGTGCAGAAGATCTCCACACTTGTTTCAGGCTACTAAACGCCTGTCTTGCTTTTCCGATCATGACTTTGACGTCCTCATGTGTGCCTGTGTTGCCTGTAGTTGAAACAGTGCTGCCTACATAGGTGAAGGAGGCTACTTCCTGTAAGTTTCTCCCGTTGTTGGTCATTGGAGCCATTTGTTGGTTGGATATCTTCACCATCTCTATCTTCTCTATATTCACTTGAAGTTCCGTCTTCCTTCGCTGCCTCGCCTCTTCTGTCAACCTGTGAGTTTTCTCCTGTAGATCTTTTAAGTTTGTGTGACATTAGACACAAGTCATCGGCGAAATCCAAGTCTTCTGGGTTCTTTTCTGTGGTCCAGCGTATACTCCTTTTCTCGCTCCTCACAGTCTGTTGCATGATCCAGTCCACTACAATCAGGAGTATCATAGGTGATAGTGGGCAGCCTTGTTCCACTCCTGTCTTCACTTCAAAGGCATCACTGAGCTTCCTATTGTGAATTACTTGGCATTACTTCTCGGTCGAAGCTTTGACCAAAAAGAAAACGCCAACAAACGGAAAACATATAAACAACACGAAGTAGAAGCACACAGTAGGAAAAAATTAACGCATCCGCTTATTCCAATAACGGGTATGCAAACAACAACAAAAGAACCAGTGGATATCAAAAGATACATAAACATAATGCGTCCGACGAAAAACCAGTGAAAATGAACACAAAAAGCATTTCAACGAACGAACCGAAACTGACAAACATACTCGAAATCACAATTACAGAAAACCAGAAAACACCTCACATGTCAGCAACCGCAAACAACATAAAGGAATAAACAAAAAAATAACGCCTACAAAAAGCCTCCAAAATGCGACCCACCACAATCAGCATTGAACACACATCTACAATCATACACAAACAACACCGACAATCAAAGGCAAAATCACAATCACAAAAACTAACACTCACACAACTGAAGACAACTCTCACAAACATATGTGAAACTGCCTCCTCGTCACTACAATACACACGCACAAACAATCCATCAACACTAACACACATACACACAATCATTCATTCACTCATACACTCATTCATTCCTCCACTCATTCATTCATTCATTCATTCATTCACTGAATGCCTCACACACACACTCACTGAATATCAAGAAGACTGGCACACACAGACACCATGAAATACACTAGCACATGTAACCACACAGTCACAATCAATGTGACACATCCTGCTGCAACATTCCCAGCGTCACCACCACCTCGATTACATCCAGTCAACACGCAAACACACTTCATGCTCATGCTTCCTCTGCATATCATTCCAAGTCATGCACACATCAACTGGCATCGAATCGAATCGAATCGACCCGCATGACATCAAATCGCGTCGCACCATCTCACATCAACTCACCTCAACTCACACCTGCTCAACTCAACTAATCTCATATCATCCCATCTCATCTCGTCGCATATCATATCATATCATATCATACCATTTCATGTCATTTCATATCATGTCATGTAATGTCATGTCAACTGAACATTCATTGTTGACACATTCTCATTCTACACTCTCTTTCGCCTTCCACACCTCACACAGCTACAAGCCAAGATCTCTCGAACACATCCCTCATGCAGACTAATGCCAGTGATGCGTCCACCACAACCACGCCTCAATCCGAAACATCAGGTGAGTCAATTCACTCAGTCGTCTCATCCATTACCACCTCTACACACCAACCAACTAACAATACACAATTCACATCTCATCCCTACAACTCCAACGCCTGCTGACTCACTACACTCCATCACACACTACCAATCACCCAATCATCAAATCAACAATCATCAATCAACAACAATCCAACACGACACACAAATCACAACACACAAACCACAACACACAAACCACAGCACACAAACCATACACCGCAAACCACATTCCATATCTCACTCATCCCACACATACACACACATTCACACATCTCCACATGACTCATTCAATGCCTCTGCACCTAAACAAACCAAACAACATCAACTTCATCATCACTATCATCCCAATAATAATCGAGTCAATACTCAGCTACGTCTGAAATATATGCTAAACTACACTTATATACATTTCACTATACTCAACTACAATATATTTCACTCAAACACACTGCCATACAGTCATTTAAGCTGAGCTCACCTCCATTCCACATAAAAAACAACCGCTACCAGAATCACACACAAGTCAATAATCATACACAAAGCACCTCCACAATCACAACGGTAATCGGAATCAAAATCACAAAGACTCCCACTCACACAACAACGACAGCTCTCACAAACATATGTCAAACTGCCTCCTCGTCACTACAATACACACGCACAAACAATCCATCAACACTGACACACATACACACAATCACTCAATCATTCATTCAACCATGCACTGAGTAATTCATCCAATCTTTCATTCAATCATTCATTCACTCATTCATTCGATCATTCAGTCATTCAGTCAGTCTGTTATTCAATCGCTCATCCCCTCATTCATTCACTCATCACATGATAAATTCAGACATCCACTCATTCGTTCATTCACTCATCCACTCAATCATTCATTCATTCATTCATTCACTCATTCATTAAAGCATCCCCTCATTCATTCATTCATTCATTCACTGAATGCCTCACACACACACTCACTGAATATCAAGAAGACTGGCACACACAGACACCATGAAATACACTAGCACATGTAACCACACAGTCACAATCAATGTGACACATCCTGCTGCAACATTCCCAGCGTCACCACCACCTCGATTACATCCAGTCAACACGCAAACACACTTCATGCTCATGCTTCCTCTGCATATCATTCCAAGTCATGCACACATCAACTGGCATCGAATCGAACCGAATCGAATCGAATCGACCCGCATGACACCAAATCGCGTCGCACCATCTCACATCAACTCACCTCAACTCACCCCTCCTCAACGCAACTAATCTCATATCATCCCATCTCATCTCGTCGCATATCATATCATATCATATCATATCATATCATTCATGTCATTTCATATCATGTCATGTCATGTCATGTCAACTGAACATTCATTGTTGACACATTCTCATTCTACACTCTCTTTCGCCTTCCACACCTCACACAGCTACAAGCCAAGATCTCTCGAACACATCCCTCATGCAGACTAATGCCAGTGATGCGTCCACCACAACCACGCCTCAATCCGAAACATCAGGTGAGTCAATTCACTCAGTCGTCTCATCCATTACCACCTCTACACACCAACCAACTAACAATACACAATTCACATCTCATCCCTACAACTCCAACGCCTGCTGACTCACTACACTCCATCACACACTACCAATCACCCAATCATCAAATCAACAATCATCAATCAACAACAATCCAACACGACACACAAATCACAACACACAAACCACAACACACAAACCACAGCACACAAACCATACACCGCAAACCACATTCCATATCTCACTCATCCCACACATACACACACATTCACACATCTCCACATGACTCATTCAATGCCTCTGCACCTAAACAAACCAAACAACATCAACTTCATCATCACTATCATCCCAATAATAATCGAGTCAATACTCAGCTACGTCTGAAATATATGCTAAACTACACTTATATACATTTCACTATACTCAACTACAATATATTTCACTCAAACACACTGCCATACAGTCATTTAAGCTGAGCTCACCTCCATTCCACATAAAAAACAACCGCTACCAGAATCACACACAAGTCAATAATCATACACAAAGCACCTCCACAATCACAACGGTAATCGGAATCAAAATCACAAAGACTCCCACTCACACAACAACGACAGCTCTCACAAACATATGTCAAACTGCCTCCTCGTCACTACAATACACACGCACAAACAATCCATCAAAACTAACACACATACACACAATCACTCAATCATTCATTCAACCATGCACTGAGTAATTCATCCAATCTTTCATTCAATCATTCATTCACTCATTCATTCGATCATTCAGTCATTCAGTCAGTCTGTTATTCAATCGCTCATCCCCTCATTCATTCACTCATCACATGATAAATTCAGACATCCACTCATTCGTTCATTCACTCATCCACTCAATCATTCATTCATTCATTCATTCACTCATTCATTAAAGCATCCCCTCATTCATTCATTCATTCATTCACTGAATGCCTCACACACACACTCACTGAATATCAAGAAGACTGGCACACACAGACACCATGAAATACACTAGCACATGTAACCACACAGTCACAATCAATGTGACACATCCTGCTGCAACATTCCCAGCGTCACCACCACCTCGATTACATCCAGTCAACACGCAAACACACTTCATGCTCATGCTTCCTCTGCATATCATTCCATGTCATGCACACATCAACTGGCATCGAATCGAACCGAATCGAATCGAATCGACCCGCATGACAACAAATCGCGTCGCACCATCTCACATCAACTCACCTCAACTCACTACCCTCAACTCAACTCATCTCATATCATCCCATCTCATCTCGTCGCATATCATATCATATCATATCATATCATGTCATTTCATATCATGTCATGTCATGTCATGTCAACTGAACATTCATTGTTGACACATTCTCATTCTACACTCTCTTTCGCCTTCCACACCTCACACAGCTACAAGCCAAGATCTCTCGAACACATCCCTCATGCAGACTAATGCCAGTGATGCGTCCACCACAACCACGCCTCAATCCGAAACATCAGGTGAGTCAATTCACTCAGTCGTCTCATCCATTACCACCTCTACACACCAACCAACTAACAATACACAATTCACATCTCATCCCTACAACTCCAACGCCTGCTGACTCACTACACTCCATCACACACTACCAATCACCCAATCATCAAATCAACAATCATCAATCAACAACAATCCAACACGACACACAAATCACAACACACAAACCACAACACACAATACACAACACACATACCAGACACCAGACACGACATCCCATATCTCACTCATCCCACACATACACACACATTCACACATCTCCACATGACTCATTCTATGTCTCTACACCTAAACAAACCAAACAACATCAACTTCATCATCACTATCATCCCAATAATAATCGAGTCAATACTCAGATACATCTCGAATATACACCACACTACACAATACTCAACCACAATTCACTACAC